ATGGCTCGGAGCCTGGGGCCTGTTTCCGATTCTGTGTCTCCCTCTCTCTCTGCCCCTCCCCCGTTCATGCTCTGTCTCTCTCTGTCCCAAAAATAAATAAACGTTCAAAAAAAAAAAAAGAGTAGCCAGTGCAGAGTTTTTTCTTCCATACTCCTTCAGACAGGGGGCCATCTTGGCTCTCGGTCAGTGCTCTGGAAAGTGGCCTAGTGCTTTACAACCAATTGAACTTGATTATGGCTTATGTCTTCAGTAATCAAAAAGTCTCCAAAGTGTTCAAAAGGAGACAAACTAGAAAAAGGTATCCTTAAGGATGTAAAATGACTGCATTGTTTATAAAACAATACGATTTGACTAACATTTATTGATTTTTTAAATAATTTTTTTAAAGTTTATTTATTTATTATTGAAAGAGAGAGAGAGAGAGAGGAGAGCACAAGCTGGGAAGAGGCAAAGAGGGAGGGAGACACAGAATCCGAAGCAGGCTCCAGGCCCCGAGCTGTCAGCACAGAGCCCAAGGCGGAGCTCAAACCCACAGGCCGCGAGATCATGACCTGAGCTGAAGTCAGACACTCAACTGACTGAGCCACCCAGGTGCCCCGACATTTATTTAAAAATACAAAATCGATCCAAACATGTCCTGAGAAAACTTGACTTATTTTTAATCTTTCAAATGCCAAAATGATCAAGTGGCCAAAAAGAGAAAAGAAAAAAAGAAAGAATAAAGAAAAGTGGTAGGCCTCTGAATAGATGAAAACCTCCAAAAAGGACCTTTCTCGAGGGTTTGATTATCAAAACACACCTGCTCTCTGTCGCTGTAAGCTAAGCTATTAATATTATCAGCTAACATTTACCGATATTTTACTACATGCCAGGAACGTTAAATTACATGGATTGTCACACTTAATCCACCAAATAATTTATGAGGTAGGTGCTATTAGCTCCTGTTCTCAGATTAGGAAAACAGGGGCTAAAACGGATAAGTAATCTTACCCATATCGCTTTCCTAGTAAAAAGTAGGGCTGGTATATTAACTTGGAAGGAGTCTGGCTCCAAAGTCTGTGTGATCAACCACGCAGCTCCGGAAGGAGCTGGGAATGGAAAATCTGGCCAAGTATTAACCCTCTCTTTCCACCATTCAGTTCCGGGGATAAGCAGGGCCGCCATGCACAGTGTTTCGGGTTGTGCGCTACTTAAGCATGCCACGGCTAAGGGGATGCCCTTTCCCTTGTAGATGTATTCTAACTTATATGAGAGGCGATAGGTGTTGGTGAAGATGTGAAGCTTCTAACCAAGTCCCAGGGTAGCAGCACACATCTCCGTGCACACAGAATCTGGCACACACACGTGCACGACACCACCTTGTCCCAGCCACACGCCAGACATCCCACGGTATTATTTTTTGTCCTCTCCTATTGCTCTCGGGGACACAGCTCCTACCCCCAAACTGTCTTCCAAACCTGGAAGGGTGAATGCATGAGCCAAACAAGCTGCCACCTCTAATTATTGCACAACAAGATGTCAACCGCCTTGCTTTTTCTAAAGGAGACGTGTCCTTTCTACCTGGCACAAGGGTGCTCTCTGGGGGCCCTGGTGAGGACCTTCTTTTAGAACCAACAGAGGTAGGCATTACATCCCTTACGAGGAAAAGAGCCCACCCATGACATATTTCCCAAAGCAAAATGTTGGGGTTATGTTTAAGCCTGTCGGCTGTCCTTCCTCCTTCGGGATGAGCCCCGTGTGTCAGTGCTCTCTTTCCGTGGAGGTCATCTCATTTCCTGGACGGCGCTTTGGCTGGAGCATGAATTAGCAACTGTCAGGCATGCAGTTGAGCAGGGAGTCCGTGACCCGAACCGGCTCTCCCTGGGAGCCTAAGGGGTCAGGCCAGCAGAAGGCACCAGCTGCCCAGCCAGACCATAGGGGAATTCCTCTCCTGAATTTTCTCCCCTCCCCAGATTGTCTCATCATCACCCTACAGGGGTCAGCTAAACTGGGGCATCCTGAAAAATCTGGGGCTCTGGACTGGAGGGGAAATGAGAAGTGGAAGAACGGAGATCCGTGTGTTTTCTTTGATGCCACTGTCACCACCCCTGGAAGAGTTCTTCAAGAGTAAGTGACAGGAAGGACCACAAGGAGCCAGGGCTGGCTCCCCCCTACAAGAACTAGAAGCCGAGGCCCGATGTGCCCTGACTTGCTGCAGGTGTGGAGGGGCGAGGGGCACAACTACGTCTCGCACTTGAAGCTTCCGGGGCTATAGCCCCAGCTGCTTTCCAGCGCTCCGGTGCTGCCTTCTCAGTCTCAAGGTTAGAGGGAAGACGCTAGAAGGTGTCCAAACACCAGCATCTCAAAGAGAGAAAAAGAAAAGTCCGGGTGGATTTTACTTCTGGGCTGAGATGGATAGAGAAGCCTCAGCTAAGCCCGGAGAAGGACAGGTGAGATGCGGCTTCCCCCCTCCGCCTACCCCCCCCCACCCCAGGCTGGGGTCCTGTCTCCCAGTGGGGGGTGGTGAATTTCTGCAGCAGTTCTCAAGCATGCATTCAGGGGCCCTCCCCACAGCAGGCCGGGCTCACTCCCAGGGGGCCAGGAAAGGTCTGTGTTGTCCAGGCTGCAACATTGCAGCCTCCCACCTCCCGGCTCTCCTGATGCCCTCGACTCTCCCTCCCACCAGAGTGCAAGACTCCTTTGAGGCCCTAAGTAATGTAGAACCAACAAATGTCAGAAAGAGAAGGAAACATGGAGATCCACAAAGTTCTTCTGCTATAGTGGAGACAAGGATGCATTGTTCTAGGTCATTCCATCAGCCACAGGCAAAGCAAAAGCTCCTGAGTCCTGGTTCTGTGCACTTCTCTCTGTACCACAGGGGCTCATTTCTTTCTTGTCAGCTGCCCCAGGGGTAGGGAATAGGAGAGGAGTGGGCCTGGTAGGGGGTGGGGGGGGGGGGGGGGGGGGGGGGGGGGGGGGAGTGGGTAGGGGGTGGCCAGTAGGGATCCGGGGAGTCGTAGAGCAGCCTGTGTTGAAGATGAGATAGATGTCCTTCCTGGCAGGACCAGGGGATGAGAGTGCCCCCCCCCCACCATGTGGCCCTCACCCCCTAAGATGTTGTGCATTATAACAAAGGCCTGTAGCCCCAGGCTGCTGAGTTAGGGCCCTCTGTATCCTGGAGAAAGGCTTTCTGAAGGTCATTGGCAGGGTGGGGGACTTGGAGACATTTCCTCCAATATAGTCTTTTCAGCCTCGGATCAAGGCTAATAGCACCCTGGAGGCCTTTTATCTCACACTCTGTGCTTCCTCATTGCCCCTCGGAGGCCAGGCGGCTTTTGCTCCTGCCTAGAGATTGCTGCCCCAGGGGACTCCAGAGGAAGCGGGTGGTGTGGTCTACAGACTTTGACCTCAACCTGTGCTGTGTCAGCACCTAGTGCGTTAGGAAAACCAGCCCTAGGAACCTGGGCTTGGTGGACATTAATCAAACAAACAGATTAGGCGCAGGCACACCTGGAGAGCCTCTGGGGGA